ACTGAAAGACTAATCGCAAACAGCGACGAAAACTATTTCATTTAAATAATACAACCCGGGATTATATTAGCCGTTTTTACGGACGATCCAGGAGAAGATTACTAAATTTTAAAATGTACATCTCCACAACTTGAGGTAATTCATGGTAAAAAGACATCCCAAAACAGAGACAGAATCAACCAACAACATAAAAACCCGAATGAAACTTAATTTAATTAATCGACGTCAAAATTTCAGAAAACATTCTTTGACGTCGCATTTTTGGTGTAACGTCGTGTTGTAGGGACATCGTGCGCAACGTTAAAACAATTCAAACAAGAAAACTAGTGGCCTGATTAATGTACAAAATAATGAACGAAAAACAAATATGATATACAGCAACAAACGACAACCACTGAATTACAAGCACTTGACTTGGTACATTAAGCTCCCCGTGAGAGATATAGACATCAAGATCCAGGAAAGAGCACTGTTCATTGTTAGCATTAACTTTATTTAAAGTTAGTTCAACTGGATAAATATATGCGTTTACTTGATGTTTACCGAACATGAAGAGATGTGTCGCTATTCCAAATTAACAGTGTATTGGAATGAAATGGTTGCTACCGTGAACATTTCATGTTTGAAAAAAGAAAAAAGTTTGCAAAGATTAAAACAAAAACAAACAAAAAAACATTACTTCAAAAATAGATGTATTAAGCCAGGTGATATTCCAAAAAAATTTATGTCCTGCTTAATATAGACATGTTTCACTTTGTGTAAATTTATCTTAACTAGTTGTTGCTGTCAGTCGATATCAAATAAATTGCCTGACGGAACTCTTCGTAGTGATTTATTTTAATATTTTCGCGGAATTTGTTGGGTTATTCTCGTTAAATTCAAACAAATTTCCTCACATGTGTTAAAAGGATAAACCTGAATTTATTTGAGATATATATGATTTTATATTGTTTAAATTCATTTAGAAAAAAGCAGATGTGTTGTAATTTCCCATGGGACAATTATCCAACAGAGTCATTTAATTCAGATTTATTTAGTTTAAACAATATTTCGTTTCATACAAAAGTGCACAAATTGCATTTATACAATAGAAAAACTGGGATTCGGAAACAACAAAAACTTGTCTCCCTTCAATTTTATCTATATTTGGATCTGCCATTCCGAAACATTTTTATCTATATAGTGATCTGCGTTACACTTAGAAACAACATAATTTGATTGAGATTTTTAATGTCAATACTATTACATGAACTACAGCGCTACTTGAGATGCGTGTACAGATATTATTAATAGATCACAAACTATACATGTTAAGCTATGGTTCTCAAATAAATGACTATAATGTAATGTTACGTACATCACATTTCAAATTCTCCCTGCACATAGAGAGTTCAACTTTATGTTCGACTTATGGGCTAATACATATATTGCTCTCTTCACTCACTATTAGGTGCCTTTCACTAGTCCATACGGAAATCGAATCTAACAATCGATGATTAAGAAGTTGTAATAACGGTTACAAAACAACTGACAATAAATTACCATGATGTAAATTTCAAAAGTCTAGGCAGACAAGAAACACAACACACAATACAGTTGTTGTCGTTATATGCTATCAGTCATATTTGTTTTTATCTTATGTTTTGCCATAAATCAGGCAGCTGGTATTCTGTTTTTGTTAAGTTCTTGTTGGATGGTGTTTCATTTATACATATTACATATTATTTTTGAATTATATTTTAGCTAAAATCATAGCTTAAATTTTGCTGATGTTCAATGTTTATTGTAATACCTACCCGACAGTTATCAATAATTTCATTCCGTTTGTCAAAAATAAAATGATAAAATCCTTTTTAATCGTTCTTAATGTATGTTGTCTTCTTTTGATTCCGTCATATATCATTTCAATAAATCATAATACAGTGTTCCTTCCATTTTTAAGTCTAATATGTAGATTAATTAGATATCGTTATGGTCGTAGGTTGTTTCGGTACATAAGACAAGTTACCAGATATAGTAGCATTTACTGGTCGTATCGCTGTTGTCGCAAGAGCTGTTCCGCTCGTTTGCCAAAATCTGCATATCAATTGACGGCGCACTTCTTTGATCCTGAAAATATATATGAAGGGATCTACTAAAGGATTGAGCAAAAGCAAGTTGTTAGTGGCTCTAACGATTTCCTCATTGATAGTGTCAGTAAAGTTGGCATAAAGACCATAGAGAGTTCTGGGTAAAATTGAAACTGCTGTTACGATAATGATACTGGTTAGGGTAATCATGTTATAGCGCATTCGCAAAACTGCTTTATTCTCCTGCTGAATTTGTAAGTCAGATAAGTTTCCAATTACATTTACCTGTCGCCGATTTCGAAATATTCTCAAAATTACAACGACATAACAGAATGCAATCACTGCAACAAATAAGGCATTCGGAACATCTACAAAAAGGAGAAAGCGTTTCTGTGTTTTATATTTTGGTCCACATGGAAATTCTACAAGTTGGATTTTGTCGAGAAACTCAAAAACACCTCGAATAAGGAAGTAAATGTGTGATAACAGAAATCCTAGTCCTATAGCAATATCACTCATTAAAACCTTCAACATTTGTTTTGGTGTTCTGAATGTCGCATTTAACCTTTGCAGGCACATAAGGATTATCATCAAGAGAGAAGATTGGATTGCTGCAGGAATAAAATGCACCAGGACTAGATACTGGTCTTGATGTCCACCATGAGTATAAAAATCGTTCGTGTTCATTAAAATTGTATGCCAAGCATACTCAATCATTAAACACGCGTCACTTATGATCAGAAAAAAAGCCAACCGAAAAAATCTGTTTTTCGCTAGTTTTTGGGTTTTAGCTAGAGCAACTGCTGCAAAAATATGAACTCCAAATAATATAAAGCATAATCCAAGAATAAAAGCCCATTTCATATTGAATAGCTAAAACAGTATAATGGCATTTGCGCAGTTCTTCCCCTTAAAAGACAACATTTCTTAATTTAGACAAACATAGCTAACCGTGCTGACTTGATTCACTACCTGTCATTTATCTAAATGTTTAATTACGAACTAAGACATCAAAGAGCGTCGGTTAGTCTGCTTCCGTTTGTATACCACATCTTAAATGAATTTGATTTCTATGAATTGAACAATGAATAACGACAATACTTTGGAGTGGGCCTGACAAGTACATTGATAATGTTTAAATATATAAAGAGCACCTGTCTGCTTCTGTTTATATATCTCGTCTTGATTCATGTTGATTTCTAAGAGAAGAAACATGAATGATAGCCATACTTTAATTCGACCCTGACAAGCACATTTATAATGTTTCAATATGAAAATAGTATTCTACAATAAAAGTTTTTGCAAGGAAAATTCATATCAATATATTTTTCAATTGGTACTAGTGTGGACACAGATCAGTGTGGATAGTACATGTGTTTTTGGATTTTTGACAATGTTTTCTGTGTTTTCTGACAAAAAAGTTTACTGTGTTTTCCCCATAGTGTTCTATGTTAAACCCATAGTGTTCTATGTTAAACTGTGTCGTTTATTTAATATTTGGTTTTATGTTCAAGCCTATCATGAAAGAGACACAATTTGTAAGGAATATTGACCTCTTTTACACTGTTGTATCTGAGGATGATAAAACTTTGAATCTTGAAACTTGAATCTTGAAAAATAGTTAGCCCGTTGGTTGAGGGACAGGGTTGAAAACTAATAAATGTATTTCAATCCCGCAGAATGTCGGGTTGGAGTTCTTTATTTTAGTAATTAAAGTGTACACGTCAATCATGCATATCGGTACACCAGAAATCTAAAATGGCATTGCTGCATTTACCACCTTCTTTTATAACAAAGGACATTATCATAATATTGAAAAGAATGAAGAAATTAGTATGTTTTGAACTGATTTCATTCGCTTACAATAGCTCTTATCATAAATACACTTTAGAGTATTTTGCTTCAAAAGTTCATATAAGATCATATAAGAAGTCCAATAAAAAACAAAAATAGTCTTTCAAGAGAAATACTTTCGTTGCATTCTATACAGTTCGACACCAACTATGAATGAAACAGATACAGGCGGAAGAGGTCATACTTTTCTATCACAAAGATATAAACAAAAGATCAAAGAAAAGGTAAACGAATAACGTATCTGTTTTAAAAAAAAAAAACGATAAAAAGGTACAAACGCTATTGATTGAGAAATTATCCTCAAAATCTCAAACATTCCATTTAAGACTTTTATTTTTTGTAATCCCGGCTGTACAATTTATATATATATGTTCCGGACCATATGAGTGTTTGGACCATACACGTGTATAACCAGATGATTATATACTCGTTTGGTTTTTAACGGGTCGGACCATATGAGTATTTAGACAATATAGGTATTTTTTCGAGAAAAAATCTTCCTTCACAAGAACACACAGCTCGTTCTCCGAACCATAGATGTATAAACCCATGTATGGGTTTATACATCTATGTCCGAACCAAAATCAGCACGCGTTATTTCCTGAAATGCTTTATCTTTGACAACTTTCACATTGTCTAAATCTTGGTGTATCTGTTATATCTTGCCTTCGTCAGCATAGTCAGAGTCCAAATATAGCGCCTTTATCCTGCCGACTTTTTCGACAGACTTTACAAGTGCATAACTTTAAAAAAAAATCTGATTTTTTTGTGTGTATAATCTAGGGTAATCCGTCTTCAACCTATGAAATTTTTTAGTCTGCCCTTCCATAAAATATTTAATTCGAAATTTTTTTAATGTTTTTTTAACTTTCGAAAATTCAACCTGATAACAGGAGTAATCTAAATTTTCCTTTCAAAAGTAATTGAAGAAATAATTACATTTGCAAAGTAATGTTATTAATTACTTTCAAAAGAAATTGACCCCATGTCTGGTGCCTTGTTTACAGATTCGCAGATTTCAGATGGTGCTCCTAGAATGGAGGGATATGCGAAAAATGTAATGATTTTTACGTTTTTTTCCCCTCTACTTATATTGCCCTAATATACGAACGAAAGAAAATAGACCAACATACATGTACAGTTCGTCAGTTGTGATAACAGCATGAAGATCGGCTCCTCAAACTGACACCAAAAAGCACTTCAAAATAACCTGGGGTGAAGAAGATTTTTTTTAAAACAGTAACGCGAGAGTATGCTGACATGGCGTCTCTGAAAACATGTATATCTTCTCCAAGTAGCAACACACCCAAAAGTTCTTATCTTGGTGAAAGTACAAGTTCGTGGACAAACGAAAAAGAACTTACTCTTCTAAATATAGAGTCTGTTTTAGAAAGCTCACCAGATGACTTATTTGAAATGGGTTTTAGGGATTTTTTCAAAGGGGACAAACAAGTCATTACTCGTTACTTAAAGAAACACTTCCCTCTTTGTAAAAGTAACGATTTGCATTTGAAAGTTGATAAAGAGTGCTTTGAATTTACACTTAATGAAATTTTACCTGTTAATTGTGAAGATATGGAAGATGTGGATGCGGCAGCCTTATTTAGATTTAAGAAAGAAATTGAAACAAAATCATTTGCTGAATATACAATGGAACCAAAAGACAGTCATGACAGAAGTTGGTTGCAAAATTGTAAAAGTTGTGAAGAGAATGACAAAAATTATAAAACTAAGGAAACCACATGTCAGCTGTAAGTAGAAAATGTACATGTGTCATAATGTAGAGGTACAGTTAGATATATTCCCACGGGGGGGTCTCTTCCTATATGAAGGTATATACATATGTGCCGCTGGAATGGGTCCCTTTTTTGATACGTCAAATATATCAATGGGGTGCAATTTTACCGAGGAAATATATCAATAGGTAGTAATAGACCACTTTCGAGTTCATCCTTCACCGGAAAAAACTCGTCAATTATGCGCGCCTTTATGACGTCATTTACCAGATAGAGGGGATCGCCTGTATCCCTGCACTATTAACGTTCATCAAGCGTCTTAGTGATCGTCATTGTGCAGGATAAACTAGAAATAATGTTTGTTTTGTAAGTACTTAATCACAATTCCCTAATGACAGTAGTGCTGATTGTCAATTATGAGAATTTAATTTGCTGAATAATTCGTGCAATATAGCATTATAGTTTTCCAATCACTTGCTCAACATTGGAACGGAAGTGACGATGCCCCTAAACGCACGAATGATGTTCACTAAAACCAGAGTTTTTGACAGAAATGCATCGAATTCGAAAGTTGTCTATTGACCCAATGGGTCATAATTTTTCAGTTTGTTGTGCAACGATCTTCACTGAATTTCCCAAACTCTTTGTCATCAAAAATTTCCACATCTGCTGAAACTTATTGACACATATAAAGGTACTATTTGAGCTGATAAATATATGAATGGGTTATGATTTCGCTGTGAAATATATATATAGGTAGGGATTTCACAATTATTCAATATATGAATGGGGGGTGTTTTTTAAATCCCAGCTGCACAACTGTACCCAAAATCCCATGTTGAGACCCCCCTGTGTATATTCCTGATATTTATAAGACATTTAGGTTATGAAGAAAGATTAAAAGTACTTAAACTTCCTTCTCTTACTCACAGAAGGTGAAGAGGTGATATGATACAAGCTTTTAAAATTATAAAAGGAATTGAAGATATATTCTTATTAATGATTTTTTACTGTCATCAGGACAAATACCCGTGGGCATACTTGGAAATTAGCGAACCCTAGATGTAACACTTCTTTTCGTTTAAGACATTTTTCACAACATATTATAAATGATTGAAATAACCTACCAGTTGAAGTTATTTCTTCAAAAACTATCAGTCAAGGGTACTACTTGTACAAGTAATCTTTATTTACTTGAAGAAGTAAAAAAAATATACTTATATAAGTTAATTATAATGTTTGAATAATCTCAAAAATTTACTTGTATAAGTAAATTTTTTTTACAATCCCACAAAAATTCTAAAGTTTTGAGATGTAGAAACTGATTGCGCAAAGGCCTTCAAAAATTGCCCCTTGGGGGCTTGTAAATGAGCAGTGTTCTGAAGATAACAGACAAATGAGATTTTCATTGTCCATGAAATTACACTTACATGATTAGTAAAGACATCTGCAAAGGACAAACAATTTAAAATTCTATTAGAGCAAAGAAGTCCTAAGAATTCAAGAAAAGAAGATAGGATGACTTTTTTACTTATATAAGTAAAAAAATCTGAGTGTCTAAGGGACATAACTAAGCCAAAAAAATTATTTACCTATACAAGTAAATAAAATACACTTGTATAAGTATCCTACAATTGTACTTATATAAGTATATTAATATTACTTCTTCAAGTAAATAAAAATTACTTGTACAAGTACATTGTAGTATCCCTGACTGATTGTGGAAGCTTTTAAAATTAGTATAGACCGTCATTGGGAGTCAGTAATGTATATCAGTTCAGTAATTGATGAGGACACAAATAGTTTTTCTATAACTTTTAACTGTGTGAAATATTGCACCAAACCATGCAGGATTGATGTTTGTATCAGTTTTAAAAGTGTACTAAAATAAGGTGGGCTAAAAAGGATAGGATCCTTCCATATGAGCCCCACAACGATCTTACAGGTATATGATGATAAGGCAGTGGAAGCAAGAAAACTTGTCTAACTGCCATATTCCCCTGACCAACTCATGACCCACTCTTGTTTAAAAGCAACTGGCCACATGATTCAGATTGGAAAGGAGTTAAAAACCATATGAAAACCCGCTGAAGTTGGGCCTTTCAACTCGTACTATCTGGTTCACTTATAGAATGTATAGTTGAAGAAGCTAAAACTCTTCAAAATAGGAATTAAATCAAGAGACAAAATGGGAACATTTATTAACGGTAGATCAAGTGTGTGTTTTTTATAAGGAAGATATCAAAAATATTGAAATCTTTAAAATAGCAGAAATAAGGGGCACAGAAATGGAAATAAAGTCAATGTTTTCTAGAAATTTCAAACCTAATGTCAAAATGATGACAAAAACTCATTAATACAAATAATACCTGATTTCTAAAAAGCACTGTTTAATTGCATTTGTACTTCTGATGGTTTTATACAACAAGAGGTAGATCTATATAAGAATTAGAAGATGTGGTATGAATGCCAATGACTGAGGTGGATTAAGAGGGGGAGGGAGGGGGCATTCCCCCCTTTTTGAGCTTCATAGATGATAAAGCATACAATTTTTACAAGTATCACTCTAAACATTGGCTTGTCTGAATGAAATAACTATCCACCAGACATCAAAGTCGTGTAATAACTTTTGGTCTGACATCATAGGCTTTCAAATTGAGCAACACCCAAACCATATACATTTTGTATGTAATAAGCTATAAAAGGCCCAGACTGACTGCATGACTAAATGTAAAACAATTCAAGTGAGAAAACCAACAACCTGATTTATGTACAAAACAATAAACGAAAAAACAAATACCTCAGAAAAATGATAGACAGCATTGTCGCAGCAACCAATGACAACTTCTGAATTACAGGTTCCTGACTGGGGACAGACACACACAGAATGTGGCATGATTAAATATATTTGTGAGCCTTCAAAATTTATCAATGCAAGACATATAAATAAACTGAACTATGAACTGTACTGTGAATAGACTGTTAATTGGATTAATTGCCCTTTAAAGGGAAAATTCGCGATTTTTTACTTTTCATCTTATTATGTTCATAATACCATAAAAAAACATATTTACCAAGTTTTATCTGGATATGAACACTAATAAGGAGGAAAATTGGGAATTAATAATTTAATTTATTCCAACTTCCTGACTTATGTGACGTAGTTTAAGTCTTTTTGCATGCCGGGAGTGAATAAATCTCGTTGTAAGTCTTGTTCGTTAATCATCTAATAACGCGATTTAAAGCGCATCGACGACTTTTGGCGTAGCTATTAACCAACTAATAATTAAGAAAGTAAAGTGATCCGCCGTGCAACTTTCAAAATTAAAATGTACAATTTATATTTAAAGGATTTCTGATATGATTATAGTAATAAAAGTAAATCATACAATAGAATATATTTTCGTGAATTTTTTTTCCGACGGATATTTTGAACAAACATATATAACTGATATTGTTTTACAAATGCATGTTTGTATTCTCACCTGAAGGCTTTTACTTCAGTCTAGTACTGTGTAAATACAATGTGTATTGTACTGTGACACTAAGTGACCACCTGTTGAATGCGTGGTTAAATTCAAGGTAATTAAAAGATTAGCATTCTGTAATTCTAGTCTTTTGATCTTCACTCAGTGAATTTTAGCCAACACGGTTCACCGTTACAGGTGTGAACAACATTTCGTATGAATGATAAAAACATTAATTATTTGGGGAGGAATATGGTGGCAAAATACCTGAATCGCCGTTATATACATGTATATCTTTTATATTTTGCGTAAGCTTAATTTTAAAATAGATAGGTGAGTATTTTGTTGTAACATCGAAATTCTGAATTACTTTCAATTAAATAATTTTACAAATAAAAATGGCCCACGAAAACGAGCGTATAAACCAAACACTGTACTTACTTTTTCAAATTATCATGGGTATTAACCGTGAATATTTCAATGTTTAGAGAAAATTATCGCGGTTACATGATTAATATAGGTTGGTCCGTCCACAGCGATCTACATTTACCTAATCGGGAATGGCCTTATTAAAATATTTAAAATCTCACAACGTATACATACTTTAGCTATTTGACCAACGATGTTTAAAAAAAATAACAGAATCAATCTAACGTCAACTTTCCTTTTTTGAATGGAGACAGACCGGAGGAATCAATTTTCAATGTGCTTTATATCTTGTACCTTTGCAAGACTTATCATTCATTCATAAACCCACTTTATACCAGAGACATATATGTCAGTCTTAACTGACAAGAATACACCTAAAGCGGACAAGTAGTATTTTCTTTAAGTTTCTATGATTTAATACCAAGAAAGAAAAAAATCCCGAAATTAATTTGATACTTTGATACTCAATATTTTTCCTGGAAAATATTCATATCCTCGTTTGGTCTGAAAATAAGATAAGAATTTGGTATACAGAACATGCAGAAGTGTGAATGTCATAAAACCTTGTAATATCAGAAACCATTATAAATGTGAACCTGTATACGTAAGACCTCATGGGACGTCACCTAACCACATACAGGTAATATACAAGTAGCTCTGTTATACCCGGAAATGTCAAGGTAAATCACTACCGATACAGAATGTACCAATGCAAAGAAAATTCTGATGATTGTGAAGCATGAGCATTCATGATTTTAGAGGAGTCTTAGGTGGAAATCGCCGGTACGATTTAAATTCTGACTATATTTTTTTCTCTCAATTTAAATCACTGAACTTAAAAAAAAAAGAAACATACCGCCCAAGATCAGAATGCTTCATGTAAATTCATAAATACAACGTTCTTATTTTGTAACTTTCGATATACTTCACCCCCCCCCCCCCCCCCCCCCCCCCCCCCCAACCTGGGAATAGTATATCTAACATAACAATGTTTGTGTACCTGCCCAAATAAAAAAAAAAAGATGAAAAAAGAAAGAGATGAACGGTAAGTCACATCAGATTCAAATATTTATATGGTTGATTGTCGTTAACTAGAGATGTAAAGTTACATGTCTCTGC